CAATAGATGCTCCTAAATGTAACACACTGGACCTTTAAGAGAGACCTCTCAGCTATTAAATCAGCCTACAATGACCCATCATCAACTTTAAAAATGATGTTTCTCCATCTGCTCCCTAGGTAGTGGGTTGTTATTAAAGTGACTGAATCACTGGGACTCAAACAATTCAGTGACCTACAGCTGATAATGATGTCATGCCATGTCAACAACACACATACCATCAGTGTAAAATTACATTAAAAATACTATCAGTATAAGTTAAGACCAGTCAGAGAGATATTGCCAATGAGAATTAATAATATATATATATGCATGCTTTGAGCTTTCATATAGAAGATAAGAAGATCAAAAGCAGAAGGAGATTAGAGGCAGAAGACGCAGTGTGGGATACTGAGGATGGAAGATGTTGTAATTTTGCACTAATACAGTTGTCGTGGCCTTAAATGCTTTGGATGCACTTTATGTAAATATAAAGTTCCAGTTTAATAAAGCATGTCACATATTGTGTGTACTTTCAGTGTGGAGCCACTGAGGGTCACTGTAGTCTTGTTTTAATGGAGCTTCCTATCACTGCACTGAAGGAATAAACTTTAAAAAAAATTTAACCACACTTTTGCAATTGTTTATTTAAATTTGAACTAAAATGTAATGTTATATTAACTGTACTTACTAAATATTTGAATAAAATTTTATATTTGACAATTAAAAAAAGTGAATCTGTGAATGTTTAATTATTAAAGGGGACCTATTATGCTAATCTATATGCTCTATAGGTTTTAGGGGTTGTGAGGGTCTGAGGAGATTAAATGAGGTTCTGTAATACTAGTAGACTAGTAGTCATTTTAGAGGTTCTACTGGACAGCAAGGTCCTAGAGTTCCCATAGGAGGTTCTATTGGTTATTGAAAAGGTTCAAGGCCATTGATAATGTTCTTGAGATTATTTAGGAGGTTCTAGTGGACATTGATAATGTTTTAGAGGTTCTTTAGGAGGTTGATTAAGAGGGTCCATTGGCCACTTGGGAGGTTCTATGGGTCATCTTGACAGGTAAACTGTACATTTTCATTTTATATATATATATATATATTTATATATATGTTCTTAATATATTATAT